GTGGATGGATCATACTCGACTTGGGGGGAGGTGGGTAGTGGAGTCCCCCAGGGCTCGGTCCTGGGGCCTGCGCTGTTCAATTTCTTCATCAGCGATCTTGATGTTGGGGTGGAAAGCAACCTGTTTAAATTCGCTGATGACACCAAAATTTGGGGGGAGGTGAGCACGCTAGCAGGGAGAGAGAGATTGCAGAAGGATCTGGATAGGTTACAGGGGTGGGCAAACAGGAACAGGATGTGTTTCAATACGGACAAGTGCAGGGTGCTGCACTTGGGTAGTAGGAACCAGCAGCACACTTATACGATGGGGAGCTCCCTACTTGAGAGCACGGAGGCGGAAAGGGATCTTGGTGTCATTATTGACTCCAAGATGAACATGGGCCGACAATGCGAGGTCATGGTTGGCAGGGCTAACCGGACCTTGTCGTGCATCCACAGGTGCATCTCGAGTAGAGCCAGGGAGGTGATCCTCCCCCTCTATGCGACGCTGGTCAGGCCGCAGCTGGAGTATTGTGTCCAGTTCTGTGCGCCCCATTTCAGGAGGGATGTGGACAACATGGAGAGGGTCCAGAGGAGGGCCACCCGCATGATCCGGGGACAACAGGGCAGACCCTACAGTGAGAGACTGCGGGACTTGAACCTATTCAGCCTCCACAAGAGAAGGCTGAGGGGGGACCTGGTGACCGTCTATAAACTCACTAGGGGGAACCAGAAGGGTTTGGGGGAGACGCTGTTTCCCCTAGCCCCCGCTGGCATAACAAGGAGTAATGGGCACAAGTTGATGGAGAGGAGGTACAGATTGGACATCCGAAAAAACTACTTCACAGTTAGGGCGGCTAGGAGCTGGAACCAACTTCCAAGGGAGGTGGTGCTGGCCCCTACCCTGGGGATCTTTAAGAAGAGGCTGGATACTTACCTGGCTGGACTCATTTGAGTCCCGTTTTTGTTTTTAGGGTTTGTTGTGTTTTTTTTTGTTTGTTTGTTTTTTTGGGTTGTTCTCCCGCCCTGGCGGGGGGGCGGGCTAGAAGATCTATTAGGTCCCTTCCGACCCTGAAACTATGAAACTATGAAACTATAGGGTGAAATAAGTGACTAGGGTTATTTAGTTTGGAGAAGAGAAGGCTGAGGAGACATTTGATAACAGTATTCAAATACATGAATGGCAGTTACAGAAGAGGGAAATGGGCTTTTTCTCTTTGGTCATAGGGGACTGGACTAGGAACAATGGCCTCAAACGGCAGCAGAGGAAAATTTAGGTTGGAGATTAGGCAGGACTTTTTAACTATGAGGGTGGTCAAGCACTGGAACAGGCTATGTAGAGAAACTGTGGAATCTCCTTCCTTGGAGAGTTTCAAGAGCAAGTTAGGCAGACACTTGGCTGAAATGCTTTAGTCCACGACAGTCCTGGCTCAAGCAAAGGACTGGACCAGATGAACCTGTGAGGTCCCTTCCAGCCCTCCTTTTCTATGATTCCTATGTAAAACAAGGGTATTAAGCAGGTGTCATTAAGCCAACGATTCTCAACATTAGTTCTGCATCTACAATGGGACATGAGCACTGCTGTGCCTTCCAAGAATAAATTATTTTAGATATAAGGCACTGCAGTCATGGGGACTGGGGTTACCTACATAACTAAGGTAACATTTTTCACAAGAAATGTTTTGATATTTTGGAGTTTCAAAATTCTCATTGAAGGCAATTAGTAAAAATAAATGTCAGCTAGGTGAGCAACTCCAGAGACAAGAAAATAGGGGATTTTTTATGGGATGGTTTAATTTTTTTGAAAGGCTAACTTCAAAACCGCAAGATTCTGCTCAAGTTGGAATAATTATTCCCTCTTCTAAAAGAAGTAAAAAAGAACAAGCATGGGGAATTCAAGACAAAAAATTTTTTGTTGGAGAATAATGAATCAATGTATGAATACCAGCGATTAGCACAAGAACTATTTTAGAGACACTAATTTTAATAGAAAAAGACAAAAATGACCATTATGGTAATATCTTAACGGAAGTGGACACTCTAAATGCATTAGTTTCTTATTTGGAATGCTAAAGCTAGAACTAGATTTTTTTTAACTAACTACAAATACATATAGGAAAGATATTCACATATAGCTCACCTTAACCAATTGCAATCTTCATTCATATCAACTTCTAAAATGCATCCAGACAGTGAATTTATTCCAAACAGAACAGGTGTAAAAGTTGGTGTACACAAACTGCTGCCAACTGTAAAATGAATGCAACTATATGTGGTTTCTTATATCAACTTTGCAAATCTCCAACCACAAGTTATACTTGTTTAAAATGCTACACAGGAAACAATGTGGTTCAGACTTAAATACATTTTCTTTCCTCTTAACATCTCCCTTTCAAAACAAAACAAGTCATTTTAAATTCAATCAACACAATCATGTGAGTGAAGGAACATTTTAACTTTTACAGTTTGAAGTTAGCAGTCCTATAGCAGAACATAATGAATGCTCCTTACAGTATTTTGCACACAAAAAATAATTGAAAAGAACACCAAAAACATCACAAATGCAAGCAAAAGACAAGCATGCAAGCAAAAGACATGACTGGGAACAGGGGTTTAGGTTGTAGCCGTGTTGGTCTAAGGATATAGGCAGACAAGGTTCCTTGGGTGAATTTGATATCTTTTATTAGACCAACCCAAACGGTTGGAGAATAGTTATTAAGCAAGCTTTCGGGTTCAAAAACCCTTCGTCAGGCTCAGGAAGCTGCAGCCGTTGGTGTGTGCTCTTCCTGGATGGAATGAAAAGTAAGGAAGCCAGGGGCTGGGCTGGGCTGGGCTGGGCTGGGCGGGGGAGTCAGTTGCCAGGCAGATTATTATGTATCAAAAATCCAAATGTCTATGTTTAGTCCCTGATCTCTAGTATCCAGCAGGTTGATGAAATGGAGCTCATAGGCTCGTCTCTGGGATGTGTTGTGTAAATTTCCCTTGAGGACCTCGTGTGTGTTCTGGGCTTGAGGAAGTTTGCTTCTGGTGATAAGGTTGGCGAGGTCCTCAAGGGAAATTTACACAACACATCCCAGAGACGAGCCTATGAGCTCCATTTCATCAACCTGCTGGATACTAGAGATCAGGGACTAAACATAGACATTTGGATTTTTGATACATAATAATCTGCCTGGCAACTGACTATTCTCCAACCATTTGGGTTGGTCTAATAAAAGATATCAAATTCACCCAAGGAACCTTGTCTGACTGGGAACAAGAATTCATGACTCTTCCAGACACCAAATATTATGGACTTACCCCAAAAATGGTTTTATGTCTCATTAGAACTTACCCAATGCCTCTGCTAACTAACCCCTCTATGTTCCACAGTGCTAACAGCCCTCTTCCCTTTGAATGGTCTTATTCTTTTACTTAGTTAGGTTTATCTGTAGCAACTGTCCTTTACCTGACCTGTAAGTAGTCATAATAACTTACCTTTGCTCCACTGGTTTGGTACCCACTTTTTAAGTCGTCAGTTTTATTAACATAACAGAATTAAACAAAAGTCATTGTTCTAATGGGTTAAAAAGCTTAAGCTTTTCTCTCATACCTAAAAGAAGGCCTTATTGTGTCCAAAAGCTTGTCTAACACCTCTCCCACAAATAAAATTGGTGGTACAATAAGAGGTGCTCCCAAACAAATCCTGAATTCAGCTATAGGTTTGCCAACTGCAGGAGCAGCTAAGTACAGGGGTGGCAAATGTATGGCTCCTAGAAGGGTCAGAAATTTGAAAGGAGGACCCACTGCCAAATTCTGAGGTAGGGAACCTCAGTGAAGACTCATTTTGCTGACAACAGGGCAAGCAATAGCTGTGTTAGCCCCTGCAGCTCCCTGAGCCACTGCTGCCCCAGGTGGGTCCAGATCCAGTCTGCAAGGAGCCCTGAAGTCCAGATCTGGCCCATAGAACCAAACAAGCTTGAGACCTCTGGTCTAACAGACTGAACACTGAAGTGAAAGTCAGGAGAACTGAACTGTATTCCCAACAGCATCGTATATTAAAAAAGATAATACCTGGCTGCCAAAGGTTTAGAGTGGCAGGATCCAAGGAGCTCATATTTACAGCTCTAACAGGTTTGCCAACTTGATAACCTAAACACATGTAGAAAAATCATGAACATTCTGTAAGAATCCATCAGCATGAACACAATGCTAATAATACCTCTGTACTATCTCTCTCAGAGTTGGCACCCATGACTCTCCTAACGCCTCAAAGACTCTTTGGTGCAGTAAACCTAATTCAGGAAGACTAAAATCTCCTGAATTCTAGTCCTGACCATATCCACACTATCTGTGATTTTGGGCTAGTCACTTAACTTCTCAATTTCACTATCTGCAAAATATAGATAATGATAGTTACCTCCATTGTAAAGTCCTTTGGATCAACTGATAAGTGCTAGGGGACTATTAGTTTTTCTAGTTACTTCCCTCACAAGAGCAAGCACTGTGTGGGATTAGTATTTGTAAAACACTATAAAAATTGCTTCTGATTTTGCTACAAGTACTGTTCCTATAGGTCTGAACAAGTTAGGGACCCTAGCTAGTTGGTGTGGCATTGTCTCCTAAACAAAATGTATCCATCATAGCAGGAAT